CACTGTTAGCTTATTCTTACTATGGGTCATTTATGTACATTTGTACAGCACAGTTAACGGTGCAGTGAACAGTGAAGTCAAGTATGCATGTCTATCATTGTGAGTCATTTGCCTGTGTAGGAGAGAGTTAGCATTCCTCCTGCTTCTACAACCACTTTATAGTAATCCTCTTTGTAATTGCCTCTTCCTCTGCTCAGCCCTTAAACCGAAGTCTTTCCAAATGTTCTTTCCTGGGTATGTCCTGTCTGCAGCCTCCCTACATGACTTCACACAGCCCTATGACTCCCGATTCCCACCTGTCACCTGACTATTTTATGTGCATATCCAACCTCTGCCTTGAGGCTGTCCACAGACACCTTGAATTCTGCAAATTCCTAACTGAATTCATTATTTGTAACCACCTACCTGCCCAAAAACCCAGTTTCTTCTACTGTTGACCCTCTAGACCAAGGACCATTCTCCGTTCCTTTTTCTCCCTATGCTCTCAACCAAGCAACAAATCCTGCAAATTCTGCCTCTTTCATATCACTTGAAACTATTGGTTTGTCTCTCCCTTAGTTCTAGGACACAGTCCCTTTACTAGATTATGACAATATTTTCCTAAATAGTCTCTCAGTGTTCAGTTTTCCTTTCGCTGTGCCAACCCCCATGCCCTCATTTACCCGGCTGGGGAAGCCTTCTATGGCTCCTCAAACCGCGTGTTAGGGGCATGTGTTACTTCCTTGGTAGCCCCTTTACTCCTCCATTATAACAACTGTCACTCTGTATGATTACTGCCTGCTTACTTTCCCCCATTCTCCCACTAGACGTTACACCCTGTGAGCTTGGGGTCTCACTCACCATTCAATCCCCAGGACCTAATACAGTGAATGCTGTACAGAAGGCACTCAATAAATACTGGTCAATTTTGAAGCTTTCTAATATTTTAACTATAAATAAAGCAGAAAGAATTTATAAACACATAAATTACATGATGATAACGTCTGGAATTAGAACTCCTGAATTAACTTTCTGGCTCTATCATTGCCTTACTGAATACTTTTGACAATACACAAAATTTTCTCACTATAGTGTAATCCTATAACACAACACTCATTATTACCGTGTACATGATAAACATGACTATGGCATCTTGAATTGATGGCTTCTAAGTAGTGAGAAACATTTCTTATGAATTATTTATTTGTTCTGCATCCCTCTAGGGTAGGCTTGCATCTTTCCTTCTAGAAGTTAATGAGGGGAGATAAAGCTCCTCCTTAAATGCTATCAAAGCCCTGGTCCTGAGCTGACGACCTACTTCACAGCATGTCAGGAAGCTTCATGAAGCAGCCTGCATCTTTATGCTCTCGGGAAGAAAATGGGTTGTATAAGGTAGTCTGTACCCTTGTAAATGCCATTTCTTAAGAATTCAAGATATTTGGGGGGGGGAAATTTGTACAAATTATTTCAGTATTTCAGCTTATTCCTGGACTCTTTCTCCATGTTTTTCTGGAGACACATTTTTTTTTCCACACCCACCCGAACCATCTGTGTACCAGGCAAGCTTTCCGAGATGTAAAACCAAGTAAAATATGTGAATTCCATTTTTTCAGAAAGAGCTATGACTAATGATACTGTGGGAAAATGGTGTAGTTAATGAAAAGGTATACTTTCTGTGTGAACGGCCAGGGAAGCCTAGAAGTTATGGCTGCACAATGCCATGACCTACTGATAAGATTCAGCACCAGTGCTTTGCAGACTTACCCTCCAGAGGCCACCTGCAGGACGCAGAGTCAGCTCAGTGTCCGTGTGTGACCTGGAGATAACCACCAATGAGAACAGGTTCTCGACCACCATCAAACAGTCAAGTTTTTGACAATGTGTGCAAATTTTGCATTCTACCCCAAATTATGTCCATGTCTGCTTTATAGAAAAATGTTTAAAATTATTTACCATTAATTAAAATTGACTCTTAGAAAAAGGTACAATGTTTATTATTGTCTTTAAATACTCCCAGGACACTGGCATATACCCTTCAAGCATTACCCCAATTTGAAAAGCACAGGGTCCCAGGACATTGTAGCCCAGGCCCTGGGAATTTTGTTAGAATTTAAGAGCATTCTTCCACATGTCCCCTTTTTGTCTTGCTATATGTAAATTCCTAAAGTCCTTTTGCTTACATCACTAATGAAATCTTTGAAAGGTAACTCTAAGCACCTAATTGGTAGCATGTCCACAGTTTAGATGATTGAGGAATATAAAATCAGCTTCATCAGACATTTTCTGTTTGAGGAAAAGGATCTGTTGGAGGTGAGAAATAGCTATCTACTTCCTTTTTAGATCTGGTTAATGCTGAAAACCAAACTAAGAAGTTCTAAAACTTAATGCTTTTTTAGTTTTGAACATTTAGTAAATATGATCAAAGAGCAAGCTGATCATGCTCAGATATAAGTACAAGAAGTGATTTATTTATACACACAGAAAGTATTCAAATTTCAAAACATTTGGAAGGCCTACCATGTGTGCTGTTAAAAGGTTTTTTATTTTAAATGATTTTTGTTAGACAATCCCGTTTAAAGTGACACTATGATTTATCGCCACTAATCAAGATTCTGATCCCTCATAGGCTTCTTGTTTGTATCTGTTTTTGTTCTTTGTTACATAAATATGAGGTTTATATATAAAATTCTGACTGTGTAATATAGGGCTAATGAGTCACAGATGGAACGATGCTGGCACATTACCATCTAATAATGTTTTAAACTCATATTCTATAGTAAAACAAAAGCAAATTGTACACATCTGTTTTCCAACTTGTACCATTTCTGAATTTGTGTCGAGTCCATGCTTAAAGGACTTTTACTTAGGGTGAAGAAAAAGAGGATACAGGTCACCTTGAAACTACCCAGCTACTTAATAACCTTATCAGAAAGGATTTGGCAAAAGAAATTCTATTTCCTCTGCTTTGCTTCCTGAGAAGGCTCAGCTCTAAAGAATGAGAATCAAAGGCATTAGAGCTGAAGTGATGTCTCACCTGGCAAACATAATTTTATTGGCTTTCTTAAAAAGAAAAAAAATATCCTTCATAAGGGGAAAATAAGGGAGAAAATATACCCAAACTAGTAAAATGAAAAAAACAAAAATTTTCTGGCGTTGCCTAAAAATATCCTCAAAATAGACTTAGGTGGGAAGAGGAGAATACAGTGAGGAGGTGAGAATGGAGAAAGGCAGCCTGCAGACACTTGAGGAAACGTATTGCTGTGGTTGTTGTTTGTTTTATTTGTATGTTAAACATGTTCTGTGTGAAAAAAAATGGAATAAAAGATTCCAATATCACATGTTGTTGGAAAAGAACTAGAACAAAGGCAAAATTTCTCTCTTAGACCTACCCAATTCATAACACCTATGAGGATGAGTTCATACAGTTAGTGAAGTACAAGACTGAAAAACATCTCTCCTCCCCCCCCATTCTCCTTGGTTAAGGAATTCAAAACCACTTTTCTGCTTCAAGGGGTGTGTGAACTGTCAAGTTCTTTTGGAAAAGTTACGTGACAGAAGTAATTACCACAGAGTGTGACCATAACTCCCTCTGACATGAAATACGCATGTTATAAGAGACAGATTTTCATCTACCACCTCTGCAGGAATTCCTGAAACAGGAAAAATCCTGAGAATCATCATATGATTGGAGAAGAGAAATTTTGATATGTGGGTGGTAAGACTATATTTTGTGAAGCGTACTGCATTAATTCTGAGGAATACTCCTGATCTGACTGCAAATTTCTGCCCATGGGTGTCCAAAAAAGAATTAATACACATATTGTATGTCCTGAGTTATAGAGTCAGCAGAATATCAATAGAGGGAAATTGCAGTGTTTTTTTCATAACAGCATCTATAATTATCTCCGTTTTGTACTAACACTTGGTACATAAGATTCCAGATATGTTAAGACTGTGTCCATGGATCTTATTGTACATGCCACAAGAAGCAGTTGCAAGTTCTCAGTCCGACCATTCCCTTTAAGAAATGGTTCATTTGCGACTTTGTGTGTCTGATTTTATTAATGGTGTGTCAAACGAGGCAAGACTTAGAGCTGGGACTGGGTGGTGTTAGGTACATGCTTGTTTTTGTTTGTCCACCAGTGAAATGTCTGTGTGACGTTTTGTGTCGTGTTTTGGTGCTGTGCCATGTCCATAGGGTCTGCCAGGCTTCCCCACAGTTGCTGCTCTGCACAGTAATCAGATCCTCACCGTCAAGGTTTGTGGTTGTCACCCATACCTGCTCAGTCAGAGCCCGCAATCAGCATAAGAGTGAGCAAGAACAGCTATACTGGCTTGCCGAGTCCCCTGTTCCCTTTAATCACACACATCAAGGTATTGGGTCCTAGGGACCTCACATACATTAATGAGGTCAAATACATATTAAGAAGGAGAATCTCAAGCTTGTAGGAGAGGGGAATATTGAAGTCGAGCAAGGACAGTGAAGTGAGGCAGACACGACTCTCTAGGACTGTGCCACGCCTCGATGGTTTAATTGGCATTCATTGCAAAGCTCTGTGATATGTCAGTTAAGTAATCCTAAATACTCTGGACTTCGGCATCAATAAAATGGCAGTTGCGTTCATGCCACATTATGCTGGTTGACAAGTCTGACGGATATTGAACTGGCGCTTTGTCTATGGACTTTCTGCTCAGAGTGCTGAATGCAGGTGACTGGCGCTTACCTGCTCCTTTAATATACTACGTTAGAAAGGCCCAACACCCATAGCAAAATGCTGGGATACAAAAAAAAAAATCATTTTTAACTAAAAATCTGGTCTCACCATCCTGTTTCAGGGTTATATTTCTTTCAAGGAGAGCCAGAAGGTCTGATGTCAGACACAAGTGCCAGTTCTGTTTTATTTAATAGTCGTTATAAGTCTAATGTGTGTATCTCTATTTCTTTCTTGGGGCCTTCTGATGTCTATTCTTCAACTCTCTCATCTCTGAACTTCAACCTTTGACCTCACCTGACTGATCAGATGGTGTTTCCTAAAATCAATCATGGGTTTCTCTCTGCTGATCAGCAGCTCATTAAACGCCGCCTGATTAAGGTAGTGCTTATTCTTGCTCAAGTCTGGGTTCTTCTTTGCATTCAGTTATTACTCTGTATACTGTTGCTTTGCCATTTATCTCTCGTGGGTGGGGTGGGGGTGGGAGGATATTTTTTTGGAAATACCTTAGAACAAAATTATGTTTAATGAGCTGCATTTGTTTGAAACGTATATGAAAGTACCAAAATAAAAAAGATATAGAGAGCCTAATTAAGTTCTTTCTTAATTAAAAAAAGAAAGACAGCTTAAGATATATCCGGTAATAGACCCAGTTCCTAAGGTCTCTCGCTTTGGTAATGTGTGCATTATTATACAGCATGACAAGAGCTTTATATGCTTAATTTTATAGGTTATGAAAAAGTAAACACATTTGTCCAACTTCAAATGCAGTCATTTTATTAAACAAGGTAGATATAACTGATGCAGCATTGTCATGAATAAAGTTATGCAAAAGTTTTGTCCCAGCTCTGAATATAGTGATAATAGACACACCACATCCGAGCTGAGAGTGCTGGTTCCTGAGCTGCTTTGATTTTAATAACTCCACTCTGCTCACCCAGCATGAATATTTATTTGATCCCTGCTGGCAGGCAAATTGCCTGTAGGCTTCATGTTTCTGGTTGCTCTGATTCTTTCATAGTATAAATGTGGATTAGATAATATAAATTTAAAGTATTGAAAAGAAGACCTGAGTCTTTATCTTTCCTAGTCATGGTTGGTCTGTCCCCTTCTCCACTGTAGGGTGACCAAGGACAGGCTGGGCCTCCAGGTCCCCCAGGCCCTCCAGGCCCAAGAGGACCTCCTGGGGACACAGGAAAAGATGGCCCCCGTGGAATGCCAGGAGTGCCCGTGAGTTGCTTTTTGGATCAGTTGTTCTCACAAGTTTTGTTTTGTTTTAAGGGCTGAGAGGATTGGGATGGAATGGGGTTGGGAGGAGCTGTAGGGTTAGGGGGTTGAGTGAGTGGAGTATGTTGAGGGAAGTGGGGTGCTAGGAAAGTCCCCAAGCCGAGAGGGTACTACCAGTAGGATTCTGCTTTACTACTCAATCCACGGGGAATCCACAAAAACTACAGAGAGAGACCTGGCGACAGCAACTAAGCTGGTTTTCAGGTAAGCCTCCAGAAATCTGTGATTGGAGATGTCCGATGTCACTTGTGTCCTCACTACCATAGAGTACCTCCATGCCTTTGGTTTAAATGGGACACTAGCTTGAAAAACTAGCTGGGGGATTAATAACATTTCCCAAAGGATCAATGGAAGAGATAATAAAGAGATAATAAATCCCATAGGATTTATGGAAAGTAAAGAAGTTAAATCCTTCTAATAGTCAATCCCTTGTAAATAACTTGACCAAAAAAGAATTGCTAATAAAACAGTAAAACATCAGTGGGTATTGTTTGAATATCTTTTGTCCTTTGTATGTGGAGCTTATTAATAGAAATGATTTAAAAGTGATCTCCATTACCCCAATAAATTTCATAAAAAATAAAAGCTATCTCAATACTTAGATCTAACTACTAAGTTACTATACTTAGCTATTAAGATTAATCAAGTGTCAGTAATGTAGTGGTACAGACACTGGATAAATGGTTTGGTTTGATAGGCACAACCCAGAAATTTAAAGAACTACATGGAAAAGGTGAAAACATTTTACACTTATGTTATGAAATTAGGATATGAAATTCAGGTTTATTGATGAATTAAATTGATTAATGTATTGCTTTAACTTAAAATATTTTCATTAGTGTTTTCATAGTGTAAAAGTAGTAATGAAAATATCCATAGAGTAGAAAATTTTGAAAATAAAGACAACCAAAAATGAAAAAAAAATACAGCCACAGTCATTAATGTTTTGGTATATTTTATTTTTATATTCATGCATTGTATAGTTTTTTCAAAGAACGATTCACTTTGTAAAAATATAGGGTACTTTAAAACTTTTCTGAGGCAACCTTCTCTAAGCCCCATTTCTCTTTCTGAAAGCTGCTGTTAGTTGTCATATGAAATGAGAAATTAACTTGGAACATATGATTTGCTGGTTGTTGGGACTGTTTTCACTGAACCATCAGAGATAGTGGTTTCATTCTAAAATGTCTCCCTTTTCTTGGGATGATATCCCAAACGATAGAGAAAGCCGCAGCTTTAGGGATATTTAAAGCTCTCCAGTTGATTGCTGGTTGCCAACAAAGATACAATGAGTGTCTCTTCAAATCAGAAGAATAGTTAAAACCATTTTGATCATACAGAATGAGTCAGATCATGGGGTATTGTATGCTCTGCAGAAAATTCAAGATATAAATTGCTTCCAAGAAACAAGGTAAAGTTAAGGAATGACAAACTGTAAACCATCCAAATATTATGTCATCCTCTAAATGAATGTAGTCTATTCATCTAAGTAAGAAATGGAGCTTTTTATACAAAGGTATGAGTATTTTTTTAATTCCACAAACACAATTTGAACTGGATTTATGGTCCCAGAGTTAGTTTTTATATACTATCATAACCACTGGAAAAAGATTTTATAAAAACTGAGAAGTACTTATTTTTAAAGTCCAGCAACATCTATGTACAGAGGGTGCCAAAAAAATGTACACACATTTTAAGAAAGAAAAAAACTGCATTAAAACTCTAATAATATATACTGATAACAAAAGATGAATACAAGTCATGTTTGACTTTTGCGATTACAAGACGTGCTCAAAGTGGTTACCATCAGTGTAATTTTAATAAAGTTTTTTTCCTTTCGTAAAATGTGTATACACTTTTTTGGCACCTTCTGTATATTGGCATTATAAGCATGGTTTTTCCAAAAAATACATGTAACCAATGACTGTAATTATAATAGTATAATAAAACATGATATGGAATTCTGTATAAATCTGAATATTAGAAAGTTATGATAGTGGTATGATATGGCAGAAAATTCTATTTTACTATATGCTATTAATTTTAACAAAGCATGTTACCTTCAGTCCTCATTGATTGAAGATAACCCAAATTCAAAATCAATCCCTGCTCCTCTTTTTATTTAATTCCTGCACTAAGAACAATTGTCTCTCTGCCCTATATATAGAAGTTCTGAGTCCTCCTTTAAAGGATCCTGTCATTATCTTGTGTTATTATAAACAGGACATAATAAATGAGATATTACTGTAATTATAATTAAATATTTTTCTGGGACCATTTATTGACTTGCAATATAATTTCTCCTATTAATTTTATTTAGAATGCATTCTGGCATAATCTTAAATCTTTAACCTGGACTCATTTTATTAAACACTAAAATGTTTATAAAATGCATTTGAAGAAAGAATATTGGCTCTTTTTTGTATTGCATTGTGTTTGCATTCCTCAATTTAGCCTGAGAAGTATATTTGACATTCATGCATCCTAGTCGGTCTTGTGCAAAAGAAACAAAAAAAGATAGAAAAAAATGTTTAATGTTCATAGCATTAATAAAATTATCATTATTCTTTTTTAAGGGTGAACCAGGGAAACCAGGAGAACAAGGCTTCATGGCAAGTATCTCAATTTATCTTTTTTGTTAAATCCTATAAATTTCCTTAAAATTTCTATAAAAAATAATGGAAGTCCAACAGGTTATTCAAAGCTATGGTCAAGATTATATGTAACAAATGTATCTGTCATATGTCCTCTAACAAAAAGGGTGAAAATTAGTAAAAGTTAAAAAGTAGTATGGCTTCGTATATGGTAAAGGTCACAAGACAAACACAGAACTAACCCAAGAGAAAAAGAGAAGGAGGCTTGGGATGGGAGGAGTGACAGAGAGACTCTTAGGAAGGTCACAGGAGAGAATTTTCTTTATGCAGCTCTGCTTTAAGGGAGATTAAATTCAGGGATATGCTCAGTAGCTTAAATAAAATGTTTTCAAAGGCATCAGGTGTGGCTAACTGTGAATTAGTGTAGTAAAGCTTCCCCAGTGATTCAAGGCATTTTTCTTTTGTTGAAGGGCTCTACCCAGATAGAAACAGTTGTGCCTACCCGATCCCTGTCATTAGAAAAGATCATGAGACGATGCCACATGGAATCGCTCGTACACATGCAGGTCCCAGTTTCTCATGACTGTTTATGTTTTGTCAGTGAGAGAAGTTGGGGCAGCTCGCTGAATCCTGACGAGTAGAGGCCCTCTACCCTGTCTCTCGCTGTCTCTCTTCCCTGTCACTAACTAGGGCTGCCTTTCTCACCTATTTCATGACATGAAGTATTAGAAAACACAGGGTGACACTCTAGTAATCCAAATTCCACAGGACAGCTAGGTCTCATACTCACCCTGGATGCAGTGATCACAATAAGCTTGATCATGTCTATTCTACATAATGTGTCACATGTAGCACGCAGGTGTTCAGGGCAAAAACTTCATTAAAAAAAAAATAGTTCAGTCCTAGTGAAACTGATGCACAGGAACACGACAGTTGGTTAAGAATTAAAACAAATGTGTGGATGGGTTAAAGGTCAAAGTCTTCTTCCTGCACAGGATGCCTTCAACAACCCTCCTGGGGAGAGACTCGCTGAGTTGTAATCCTAGCTGTAGTAGAGCTGCCTTTGAAATGTTACTGGTGAAGTGAGAGCACCCTCGGACCCAATTTGACCCTTCACCTAGCAATTCTCTGTTCCTGACCTATAATATCAAGATAGGTATTTGGTAATATCAATAGATAATTGGGAGTGGGGGGAGTACTATAGTGGATTCTTTCTAAAGAGAATAAAATGAAACAACAACAAAAAAGACCATATGTAAAAATTAAACAAAACATCTGTCATCAGTGGTAACTTTGCATACAAGAGCAGCATTAGCTGTCAGGGTTATAGGGTCGCAGGGGTGAAGGATTCTTGGAAAACTACAATATAAATTTTGAAATTGCTTTAGGCAATTGAATGCACCTGTGATTTCTATCCTGGATAATGGTCAAAACATATTCCTCTCAGACATTCTTACATTGAAGGCTACTTGGGACTCTTAGGAGCCCTTGTTTATTCCCACATATGCACGTCTGACTCAGATTTTTATTATTACCATTGGCTTTCTACCCTGATGCCCAATGCAGCGTCCCAATATACACAGTGCCAAAATGCAAATGGATATTTTTTAAACCACAATTTTATATCCCTTAAATTCATATATTCTCTCTAGAATATACTGTGTTAATGACAACTTAATCCCGTTTCCCTATAATTCCTACCTTAATATCATTAAATACAAATGTTGCACCTAGTCTTAAATGAATTATGTTATTATCTTAATGTGCTCCAAATTCCCACTTCTTATAGCAACTTTTGAGGTGAAGATGATCCTCGGTATTTTCTCTATAAACTTTTTCTTCTGTCTTTAAACTCTTCAAATTTAGTTCATATTCTCATTTTTAAAATACAACTAAGAAACTTAATTGAAATCACAAATTAAGTTCAAAGGATATGTGTCATGTAGTGATCTAACATGCATTGTACTGTTTTTAAAACTGTAAAACCCCTTTTTGAAAGAAAACCTATATATATAAGGAGAAGTAGGCAAATCATAAATCTACATCTCAATCAATTTTCACAGTGACAATGTAACTAAAATCCAGGTCAAGACATAGGATGTTATCATATCCCAGAAACCCCCTTAACCCTCTAAGAACCACCCCCTCTTATCAAAGCTAACCACTATTCTGACTTCTGCCACCATAGATTAATTTCACCTGCATTTGAATTTTACATTAATAGACTCATGCAGTATGTACACTTTTGTGTCTGGCTTCTTTCGTTCAACATTATATTTGTGAGATCATCCACCTCTGTTTTAATAGCCTTCACAGCTGGTTAAAAAAAAAATTAGGAGGAAGAACCTTACTTCCTTGGCTACCCTGTTAAAACTACATCACTCAAACAGCAGTGAATGAATGAATAGTCTGTCTGACCTTGGGCAAGTCACTTAACCTCTCACTTTCTCATCTGTAAAGAAAGGATAATAATACCCTCTCTGCCTCCCTTATAAGGTTGCCAAAGACAAATACAATAAATTAGGGGAAGCACTTTAAAATATGTAACAAAGAACTATATGAGTATGTTATTATTATTATCACTCAATTGTTCCCTCTAGAGTAAATTACAGGTGAGCATGGATTTATATAACAGATGTATTCCTGTAAAGTTCTGTATGAATCAGATTTTCATAAATCAACATATCTTAAATGTGCTGGGGAATTTTGCTATTTAAAGCAATCCTATTCAGAGCCTTTTTGTAAAGTAATATAATCCCCTAATTCTTCTTCCCAGCAAACTGAATTTTTAGATCTTATATTTGCTTAAAGTGAAAGATATCTATGATTTAAAAAGCTATCATTTTTAAAAACCACTATTTATGTTTGTTAAGTTAAATAGCACCTGTATATATTAACCAATCTCAAAGAGAAAAGAGGAGACTGGAAATATAATAGTAGTTTTCATTAGGAGAAAAATTTCCTTAGAAAGTTTCTTTTTTCTTTTCAGTAGTGTATGTGTGTGTGTGCGCGCGTGCGTGTGTGTATTGACTCAAAGTCTGGTAAGGAGAAAACTACATTATACTATAAGTAGTTCTGGCGTCAAAACTACTTCAGGGTGTATGACTATATAGTCTGTGATCATTTTTCCTGATCTATAACATGTGGGCAAATTCCTATTTTACCTATCTCTCTGGGTTATGATGAGAAGTAAGGGAAGTCATAATAATATGAAAATGCTTTACGAACTACAAAGAGTTCATAAATGAGAAGTACTGCAGCTAAAACAAAACTCTTGGTGACACAACTTGGCATACAGAAAGACCACTCTATGAAACGTAAGGGATGAGAACGTAGTGGTTGAGGCCATCAATGAAATTACAGTGTGTCAGATACTACGATGATAGTGCAACTAATCCCTTTTTGCCCTGTTTCTAGTCGTTTTTAACCTTCTCCTGTATATCACATCATCTTACATTATTAATTTTTCATAACACATCTTTCTAACACTCCCTACATTTGTTGATTTGTGTGTGGAGGAGTGTTTGCTGACATGGGGGTCTTGAGAGTCACTGGAGAATTCTTAAAAATTGAAAATGTCCCTGTTGATGAAATGAAAAAAAATAGGAACGATCTAAAATTAGCCCTTACAAAACTGTTTATGAGTGTGTCAGGTGGGGAATTCGTTTTCCTAATCCAGGATATACATTTTATATTGCAAATATAACCATCTGAAGACTAACAGCATCTCTGATAGAATAAAGAAGGCGTGCTGCTCAAACAGTTCCACATTTATTTAATCCTGCTGTGCATCTATTCTGTAAACATGACCTTTGGGTTTTCTAAGAAGTTGGGGGTGAGATTTTAAAAGGCAGAAATCTTGAGCTAAAATAAATTGGACTCCATCTACTTAAGGAGAGAACTGCTCTAGCTCATAAAACTAGACCCAAGCATCAAAGTAAGGACTGACCACAATTGGAAATGCTAAAATTCTGAGCCCTAGCATGAGTGATCTTTATTTTTCAGTTCTTCAGGTATTTAAATACTTGTTAAAATAGTATTTTTGAAGGTATCTTCCTTTTGGTATTCTCCCTATTTGTTTTTTTGACAAATGTAATAGTTCTCAAAAGCATAAAAGATGGATGGTATATACACACACACACACACCCCAACTAGTCCCAGTTACCTGGAAATTATTTTTTGATACAAAATGTGTGTATCCAAGGTTTCAAAGACCAAACTACTGTTTCTACTCTGAAACTCGTTCTTCATTCCTCTCTGTCGTTCCCCCCCCCCCCCCCCCAAATAGATGCAAACTCCTTAGCATATACATTCTGAATTATAAGAGTATTTAAAGTGTCATTCACTGGGTCCTGATGTTGTGTGAGAGTTCAAAACCCAGAAAAATTTTGCTGCTATTGTTCCTTAAAGTGAAATTTGGCCTGTGTCAAAGAGATCACAGATATTTTCAGCTTATTTTAACTTTGCCTGCAAGCACAATTAATACATTTGGATCAAGTGAACACATATGGCGCTTTTTAGTTAGTTAATAACATAAGCATAACTAAGTGCTTCAATAAGGTACAATAAAATTGAATTACCAATACCTGAAGATTTACTTGCAATACATTCAGTTGTAATGCGCTGCTACCCCTGAGATCTGATAAGACGCATCATTTTACTTGTGCTCTGCCAGCTATCTTGATCAGCAGGATGGCAGACATCAAAGACAGCAGCAGGCATGCTTCTCTTCCTCATTTTAATCTGCAGAGAAGGCAAAGCCTCAAACCTTCAAATCACAAATAACAAAAATGACCGGAATCATCTTAGCATATTTAGTTATTCGACTAGATCTTCACAATAAAACCTTGTTTGGTTAAACTATGTGTGCTTGAATTGTGCATACTGCCTGCTGGGATGGCTTAGCAACCATTATAATACTTTATTATCCTCACTTAATCTGATTGTCCATGAAATACATGTAAATGCCACACCAAGAGAGCCCTTCCCATCTCCTTGGTGCTTTTGTCCAGAGCCTG